TTGCCAGACAGTTTGGACACATTTAAGGACATTTTTAGGCAGGTTTTGGCCTTCATTAAAAAAAAAATCAAAAAAATCAAGTTTGAAGTCATTGTGAAGAGGCTTCATGTAATTTTAAACACATTTCAAAGCATTTTGGACAATTTTTGAATCCGTCTGGAAAAGTTCAAAGTCAGTTAATTAATTTCAGAGTGATTTTAGACCAATTTAAAGGTTTCAAGTTTTATTAGACGAGATGCCAGAGACGGTTGATAAGTTTCTGTAACTCTGGAAGATTTTTTTAATTCACTTTTAACACATTTCAAGGCATTTATGACAAGTTTAAAGTCATTTAATTAATTTTAGAGTGATTTTAGACCAATTTTAATCAACCTTCGACAGATTTAAGGTCAAATTAGACGAGTTGCCAGACATTCTAGACACATTTCAAGGCTTTTTTTTTTTCTAAATCACGCAAAAATTTGTTTTTAAAAGCTTGCAACTCGGCTTTACTTGATTAGATTTAATTTGACATTAATGTGCACTTTAGACATAGCTTGGACACATTTAAGGACATTTTCATCAAGTTTAAAGTCATTTTGGACGATATTTTCCTTCATATTGTGCAACTCTTTGCCAAACCCTAAACGGCCTCAGATTCAGGATGTTGTGCGACGCTAGACGCTAGACGCTAGACGCTAGACCTGATGAGTGACTGACTGGAGCTCCTGTCTGGTCTGCAGGTACGTACACCTGCGGGACGTGCCAGTGCGAGCCGGGCTACCTGGGCGCCCGCTGCGAGTGCCAGGAGGGCGACTCGGGCAGCATGTACCTGAGCGCCTGCCGGGAGGCCGAAGGGAAGCAGATCTGCAGCGGCCGAGGAGAGTGCAGCTGCAACCAGTGCCTCTGCTACGAGTCCGAGTTCGGGAAGATCTACGGCAGCTTCTGCGAGTGCGACGACTTCTCCTGCGCACGACACAAAGGAGTCCTCTGCTCAGGTAGGAACGCCTGGACACCGACCAATCACACGCTGAGGTGTGTGTTTGTGCTCCAGAGGCGTCTGATTCATCTCAGCTGGTTTCATCTGTCACTTTAGAGCTTAGTTTGGAGTCGCTCTGGAGCAGTTTGAAGACGTTTTGATCTGTTGGACGATGTTTGAGTAACTTTAGACACATTTCAAGACATTTTGTGCATTTGTGAAGTCATTTCAGATGAGTTTCGACTCATTCTGGACAAGTTTGAATCATTTGGTTTTGAGATAAGGTGTTTAAAAGCAAACTCGTCCTGTGCAGCTCCAGGAGAAGCTGCTCGTCTCCATCAGCTACTGCAGAGAGCAGACCATAGATGGAAAAGAGCAAAATAAGGAGTCATGTTGGCTTTAACTGTTGTTTTAGACGAGTTTTGAGTCATTGTGGCCGAGTTTCTGTTCTTCTGGACAGTCTGAGGAAGACTTTGTGGAAGCTGAGCAGGAGAACCCTGGGGCTCATATGGAGGTTCTGTTTGAACCTTTCTGGACATCGATGAGTTTAAAAGCCGACTTCAGCCCAGAAGCTCCTCAGATCTGCTGCTCTTGTTGTGGTTCTGCTGAACGTCGTGAACATTCATGGTGTTGAGTCACTTCCTGAAACTCTGTGGGTGAACCTCAGCGGTTTGGCCTCCTCCTCCT